CCACACTGGTTCAATTCAGCTGCGTGTTACAAGTTGAACACCAGTTATCAATCCACTACAGGGTGTTAATAGGCTATACATAGAAGAATTGAATTTAATAGGACCTATGACCTCCATATAGGTTACCTGCTTATATCAGCACAGTTTTAACAATGGGCATTAGTTCTCTGGCTTCTTTGTGGCTCAAGGATATCAATAAAGCCTTCCCTGAAGCTCTGTTCGCATAGTTCATAACCTCTCTCTCGCCCCCAAACCCCCCATGTAGAGATTGTGAGACGTCTGGCTTTCAGGCCAGTGCCACAAAATTAGACTCTGCTTCTCTGTCCACTATCCTGATATTGAAGCCTCACTGAATTCTCTATGGCCTTCAGTCTCACCTTCATAAGCAGCCTGGAGCTACCCTCAACTACATGATCTCTCTGAGCAGTAACCAACCCCAAACTCCAAACATCTTGCCCAAATTCTGTATGGGGATTCCTAGTGGGTTAGGAGTTGAATTCAGACTATTCAAGCTAAATATACCTTTTCTATATGCAGATGTTGTTTCAGCCACAGGACTTGACCTGTGGTGACCCAAATCTACAGAACAATAATCCTGGTATAATTGTTCTTGATTCTTGATCTAGTCATCTACCCTCATGATTTTATATTTATATAACTCTGACCTTTTTCATTTGTTTAGACCTGTGATTGACATTATCTTTAGTATGTCCCTTGAACTTCCTGCTGTATTTTAGAGAGGTTTGTTTATTGATTTGAAAGTTCATCTAGCAGATACATATTGAACATGCACTGGGGGGTGCTGCAGATGATCAGAGGCCAGTCAGAGAGTTAGACAAAATAAAAGTCTGCATCACTTAGTATGCTTTTTATTCTTAGTGACAGAAATCCTGATTCAAACCGGCTGAAGCAAAGACGGAATGTATTCCATCACATACCTGGCAAGTCTAGGGAGAGATCTGGTTTCCTTCAGACACAGCTGGATGTGCGGATCCTAAATACTCCCTTCAGGGTCTGCCCTGTCTTTGTCTCTCAGCTCTGCTGTGCTGTTTGATGGCTTCATTCTTTAGCTTTCTAGCAAGGGAGGCAGTGGTTCCCCTGAGAAAAAGATGAACAGATGTGAGATGGTTAAAAAGAAGAAAAAGAAGCTATAATTACAGCCATCTGGCAGATGAGATGTTCACTGTGCCAGGTCTGCATCCTCTTGGGCTCCAGAACAGTAGAAAAGGCACTGCTCTCTCAGCAGCCCCAACAAATGTCCCACAAAGTCCTGTGGTTTCTGAATGGGTTGTATGCTCTTCCCTGAACGAGTGACTTTTATTAGGGAATCTGATGCTGCGATTGCTCAGAATGGAGTCGTACGTCCTCACCTCACGTACACGTGGAGTCATCTCTAGTCAAACACTTAAATTGAGACGAAGGGACACAGTGGTTCCCCCAAGAAAAAGGTAACCAGATGTGAGATGGTTAAAAAGATGAAGCAGCAGCAGGTGCAGTAACAGGCATTATGGCACCTGACCGTGCAGGTGTATATGTTGAGTGTAGACGGTCTCGTCTGTCAGGGGGAACATTTGGCTGCACATAGTGTAGATGAGAAAGATTCACACTTCTCTCACTCCCTTGCTTCTTACTTTCCATCCTTTTTCCTTTCATCCTACTTTATTGCAGGTGCAGATTGTCCAAGAAATGGATCTTGCCTACAAGGAGCTTACAAAATAGTAGAGAGAAAGATGGCCAGGGATATAGTCCTGCATTCTCATTGAGAATTTATAGTTTTAGAAATGGAAATATGAAGAATATGTCTGTTTTTTAGAAAGCTGAAAAAACAGCTCCATGTTACTTAATACCATCTTTACCCCGGCTGTCTCAGTTATTCGTTGTTATTAAATGTTTGAAGTAGTCTCTCTGGTATGCTTCTCTGAATAATGAAAACTCCGTAATCCATATTTAAAAAAAAAAAAAATTTGCCTAGGCAAATTCAGAGTTAAAACATATGCTAAATTAAGTATTATTTCCATGAGTTTAATTTGCTTTTGTTCTCTAAAAAAATTTTTATAGTGTTAGAGATCTGCCACTGAGCTACACCCTGCCTGCCCTTTTTTCTAGGTTTGGATTTTTGTTTTGTTTTTTTTGAGGCAGGATCTTGCCATGTAGTTCAGGCTGGTCTTGCACTCATTATGTACCCTAGGCTGATCTTGAACTTGTGGCAATCCTCCTGCCTCTGCCTTCTGAGTGCTAGGGTTACAGCATGTACCACCGCAGTCAGCTCTAATTCTTGATTTATGATTTTATTGTACCTGGTACTTTTGTACTAAGGTACTCAAAATATGGGGATATACGCCAGGAGATAGCAAACAAAATACTTCCAGTTTCTACTTTTATCTGAACTTCTACTCAGTGACAGGTTGTTAATTCATCTCTCACCAATACCCAGTCATACACAGATATCTCTATCAGTGTATGCACAACTTGCATATTGAAATGAATGCATGTGGATATATACATTTTTTTAAAGGTAACAAATGTGAAAATAGCTTGACATTCAAGATCTGACAATAGGCCTTACATTCTTTTGCTGCAATTTTTGTTCTGTACCATTGAAAAAATTGAGGGCTGGTGATGTTTCTTGGTGGTAGAGCATTTGCCTAGCATGCACAAGCCCCTGAGTTCGTTTGCCAGCACTGACAGTGGGGAGGGGATTGAGAACAAGCAATGCACATAGAACAATCCAAGAATTAGGAAATGCATTCATATCATAGTTGTGAATTGGAGACATCTGGCAGTGCTTGGAGTCTTAACTGTTTCAACTTTTAGAATTTTGTGGACAAAGGCCAGGGATGCTAAACATTGTATGACCCATAGGACAGGCCCCAAACAACAGCAAAAGACATTATCCAGTCCAAAATTTCAATAATGCCTTTGCATTAAAAGAATTTTTAGAATTATAAGCCCTGGAAGGATTCAGAGCAAGTTTGTAATTTAGATGTAAAACAAAGCTAGAGGCAAATTAAAATCATGGAAACATAGACCTCTGAAGCTGACGGAAGTCATTTAATCCAGTCTCCCCATATTTTAGATAGGGTAACTAAATTACTTAGGGAAAAAGCAACCTCAAGCAACACAGCTTCTTCACCCCTAAACATGTAACCAGACAACTTGTTTTGCTCTACCGAGGAAAAGGACCCCCAAAAAGAATGAGAAGTCTCTTTGCAAAAAGTAGCGCTTTATTTAAGCTGGTACCCAGCGGCGCAGAGTACAGATGGGCTCTGCAAGCTGCGCGCTGAGGAGAAGCAGCGAGGAGCTTATAAAGTGAGAAACCACAGAGGGGGCAGTCAGTACCCAGGTCTTGTCTTTGCAGAGTGCTCGGTACTTTTGGTGGTTGTAATTCTCAGAACCGAAGCTTTGCACAAGAACATCAAGTTGACAAGTTGGCTCTCGTGGTTTTGCATTGCCTGGGGACTGCAGCAGAGGATTTTTAGCAGCGGGTTTTGAGGGTACAGTGGGTGACTGGAGGGTGAGGGGAAACGGCGCATACAGAACAGGATGGCGGCGCTTTGGTCAGGTTACAACAGTTTCATGTCTCTGTACCTCGGTTTCCTTATTTGAGAGAAGATGTAATGAAACTTGCCTCAAGTGATTCATGTGAGGATTAATTAAAATACAGTACGTATAAAATATTTAGTAGAGTACCTGGCCATAGTGGGTTGTTGACTGGCAGTGGGAGGACTGAGGTGGTGACTGTCGCTGCTGCTGTCGCCCAGAGTCACAGAGCTGGTTTGCAGCCTGCTTAATTCTGCTGTCCTTCCTCTCAGCCCCACGTTCTCTCTTTTACACTGCCTTGGTTGTCTACTAAGAAGGGTTACAGTGACAACTTAATGAGATTAAAGAACACTGGAGAGGAGCTCAGTGGCTGGTAATTCAAGAGAATGTCTGTCTCGGTTACTTTTCTCTTGTTGCTGAGACAAAATACCCAATGCCCAAAATGAAAGAAGGAAAGGTTTATTCAGCTTCCAGTTTGTGGAGGTTTCAGTCCATACTTGGCTGGCTCCCAGGCAGATGATAACAAAGCAACAAGAGCAAAAGGGAGGAACGGCAGTGCGTGCAAGCCTCTTTCCCTCCCTTAAGTTGCAAGAAGGCTTCCCCTACCCAGGGGGCGGCACTCCCACAGTTAACCTTCTAACTTCTCACTCTGACACAATGAAGAACTTCCTAGAGCAGGAAGGGCATGTCCTTTGCCTCCCAGGGTGTGGAACTGCTGAGTCACTTAGCCAAACCTCTAGACTCCCCAGGTTGACACAATGTATCAACCATAACAATGTCTGAACAAAAGTTCTCTGTGAAAGACAGAAAAGGGGTTTAAGTTGTAAGGAGAGAGCTTCAGGAGGACAAAAGAAAGACAGATGTTACCTAAAACACAGTAGTCTTGCTTAAGCTCTGTGGATGATGATAGGGGTAGTCATGCCTCAAGAAAGTAAGAGCCTGGAGCAGACGACTTACCACACCTTGACGCCCTTGACCATTTGTTATAATGAACCCCCCAAATGATTTTACATGCCATAAAAATAGCCTATGTGATAGTCATTTAAAGACATCTTCTCTTGCATCAAGAACAGACTGGTACAGGAAAGAAAACTGAATGAAAGTTAGTTGATCATATATTTTCTGTATATTTGTGTGACATTCAGGATCTACAGAGCAGTCAGAGAAGAGCAACACAAGCATGCCTCTCCCACAAGTGCTGAATGAGCACTCACTGTGCTAGAAGTTAGATACTACCCACTTTGCCCCAAGTCACCGAGCAGGTGAGCAGGAGACCCACCACAGCACGTCCTCACATGCCTTCCAAGTACATGGCTTCAACATGCTGGTTTTATATCCTGGTTCTTGACAAGGAAAGACTAGACTCAGAAATCTCTTCTAAGATCAGACTGTTCCTAACGCAAAATACCTCATGTTGATTATTCTTCTGTATTAATTTTACCTTCAACCTTTTTTTTAAGGTGTTGTGTAATGGACCAGGAACATGCGTTCCTATCTGTATCGCTGCCCTTCTTCTTGGAATACTAGGAATAAAGAAAGTGATCATTGTCTACGTGGAAAGCATCTGCCGAGTAGAAACTTTATCCCTCTCTGGAAAGATTCTGATTCATCTCTCGGATTACTTCATTGTTCAGTGGCCAACTCTTAAAGAGAAGTATCCCAGGTCTGTGTACCTTGGACGAATCGTTTGACAAGTGGAAACGTATCTTTGGAATTGCAGTTGACAATATTTACTATGACCTGTTATTGTGAAGGCTTCCGAAAGTCATGATAATTATTGATGGTCAGAAGTTTTAGAAATGTGCAAATAACTCAGTGAAGAAACTGAAGCTTCTCTTATAAGATAAACATTACTATGTGGTACTTATCAAATATTTATGCCTGTATATCCCAGATTTCTTTACTAGATAAAAGTATGTATCACTGTCTGCAAGCTTCTTTTGACTATTTCAGTAGTATTTTTTAAACCTGAATATAGTTTGTGTGATGAATAACATTTCCTGTTCTACAGGGAAAAAAAAAATTCTCCATTGTAAAAAGAAACAAAAAAAAGGTATTTCTTAGTTTTTGTTCAGATACAACAGGCTTCATTTCCTGTATAGAAGCAGTGATGTCCCCAGGGAATTATTTCAGCATAGAGGAAACAGTTATATTAAGTTGGCTTCGTGACAGTTTGCACTCTGTTGGCTTCCAGCACCTTGAGCATAACCAGGGTCTTTTTACTCTTCAGTCTTGCTTTTTGAGTAGCTGGCTTCAATCTGGAATATCTTCTGAAATCTCCACATTGTTAAAATAAAAGGTGGCCACTGTTGTGGAAATAAAACTTGTTATCAGGAATCTAAACTCTTAAACCATTAAAAATTTGTCGTAATAAATTCACAATGTCATGGCTGTAATTGTCTCTGGCATTTTGAGATGCTTAGACCTGCTACCACGTATGTTTACTGAACATTTGTATAATGCAAGCTGTACGCCAGGTACTCTTTTTAAATATTGTCTTATTTAAGCCTAATAGCAGCAAGAGGTAGGGGCTATTACTATGCACACTTTACAGATGACTTGTCCAAGACCACATGCCTTACAAGGTTTGTGGGTAGAGTGAGTTTCATTGGTACATGGTCTGTATAGTCCCATAGGGTTCCACAGTTAGCAGGGCCTGTTCTCCTGGATTAATACTCCGTTTTTCACTGTCTTGAATTTTGTAATAATTTTTAATTACTTACTTATTTTTGGTTGGTGTTTTGTTGTTGTTTTTGTTGCTTTGCAGTACTGAGAATTGGACCCAGAGTCTTGCACATGGTAAGGAAGTGCTCTATCACTGAGCTGCACCCCAGCTCTTTTTACAATTGTTAAGCAGAGGACTCACACGTTAGACCCCAGAGTGTGTAGCTAACCCTGCTTGAGACTTTATGTACCTTGTGATGCCCTATCTATCACAACAGAAGCTCCTCAGTAACTGAGAATTCTTGTTCCCTCCCTATAAACTCTACTCCTTTAACAAAGCAGTAAAAAAATGAGAACTTCACTTGAGATAGATAGATAGATAGATAGATGATTGATAGATATAGATAGATAGATAGCTCAGACCCTATACATATCAGATTTATACATCTCTCATGCTAGAGATTGAACTCAGAGCCTCATGCATGCTAGGCAAGCACTTTACCACCGAGCTATCCCCTCAGCCCTTATATGTTTTTCCTCTATCCCCTATATGTTTTTCCTCTTAAATAATTTGGTTAAGAGTATTAATCTAGGGCCAAGGGTATAGCTTAGTGGCATAAGTGCCTGCCTGGCAAGCACAAGGTCCTGAGTTCAATTCCTGGTACCAAAAAAAAAAAAAAAGAAAGAGTATAAATCTAGTACAGAAATGGTGAAATTGAAGTGTATTTTAAAAAGACAGGGTTACCCAAGGTGACGCAAAATTAAAATGCTGAATTGATCTAGGCTTTCTTGTTCATTGAGAAAAACTTATGTGAGTCACGTGATAAAGGCACGCCTTAGTCATCAGGATATTTTCTTGGGTTTTTGAAAAACCTGACTGGCAGAAGACATCTCAGAATGGTAAGGCATCTTGCTGCCTGGACTCAGTAGCCATGGAACAGCCAAGTGGTGACTCACTGTGCTTTGACTTGAAATCCTCAAATCTGTTGTTTTTGTTTCTTCTGAGTTATGGGCCTGGAGTATCAAGCGGTGGGGTATCAGTGATCAGCTGAGGCAAAATAACCATTTATTTTTCTAGAGAGAGAGTGTTTTTTTTTTAAGAGCGAGCAGCATGTGCTTTCTAAAATTTTTTAAAAGAGAATAAAGGGCTGGGGAAACAGCTCAGCAGCACAAGCACCTGCCTGCCATGCACAAGGTCCTGAGTTTGATCCCCTGTACCAAAAAAAAGCGGATAAAATTTTAAAAAACATTAAAAGCAATACAGAATTTCAAAACAAGATGATAGGAAATCCACAATGGTTGTTATACTGCATATTGTTATCTTCAAAGTAGTTGTTCAGATTACCAGATATAAGCATGCAAAATTAGTCAAAAAAATTAAGCATTAACTGTTCCTTTCAGTAAACCAACAGAAATCAGGGGAAGAAAAAACTAAAATAAAATAAAATAAATACACACACACACACACACACACACACACACACACACACATATATATATATAAGCTAAGCATGTGCTTTTGATTCACATTTGGATTTTTCTCTGCTCGGCACTTTGTTCCTGAGTAGCCCTGGGTGAGTGGGTGGAGAAGGAAAGTGAACTGCATTTTAGTTCAGTTAATGCCTCTCAGTACCACGGGGCAGCTTCCCCAGCCTTCCAGCTACTCCTGACGCAGAGGCTTCTACAGCTTACGATGCTCACACCAGGGAGAGTTATGCAAAAGTCGCCATAATTTTTTTCCAGAAACATATACATGCCCCAGATACTTTGCAAAGCCTCATCTTAGACAGTGTCTAGCCTGGGATGTCAGAGAAAGAATCTATATGTGCTGTATCACTAAAAGTTTAGAAGCATTTTTACTAGGTTCAGGCTGCTATACACACGTTGAGAGCCAGGCTGAACCACGTGTTATCATACTGTCCTGCTCAGTTCAGCTTCTTAGTAAGCAAGTGCTTGCTCTGCTGTGTGTTATTTTGAGGGCTAATTTAGTTCTCAAGGTCATACTAGCCAAGGGGGCGGGTTTGAGATTATAGTACGGGACATAGTTTCCCTACTATGCATGTCTGTGCCATTCAGGAAGAGAGTGCTCTAACCTCAGCTTGAACTGAAAAATCAGTAGCTAGCTTGTCTTTTTGAATTTCTCTTAAAACACTTTGGAATGCAACTTCTACTGTAAGAAACCATTTATGAAAAATTAACTGAATCAGCCTTTAGATGGGAGGTAGGGAAACCACACATCCTGCCCACACCTACTTCCCTGGAAGATTTTTATCTACAGTTCAGCTGTCCAAAAGGTCTCAGCAGTTTGCCGGGTCAGAAGGTCCAGCTATTTCAAATAGGGTGCCCAGAAGTCATGACAGGAAGCGCTAGCCTGGAACTGAGAGTGCTGTGAAACCCCGCCAACAAGAGGACTGTTGTACAGTTTTAAAGTGAATAGCAGGAGGTGCTTGCTAGAAAGGAGAGGGAGGACTCAAGCTTACTCTTACGAAAGCAACATAAAACACATTGTTATTTTACCTTCCAAAGTTTTATGGTATGAAACACATGCACGCTTACCCTGCAGTTCCTTAGGTCAAGTCAGTGCTGTAATTTTTCTGAAAAGCCCTATCCCAGAAGGTGTTTGGGACCTTCTGTCACTAATAAGAACACCGTTACGAGTGTTTAAAAAAAATCCTCTTCCGTACAGATGGGTGTTCAAATATGTGAAACTTCTCCGCAGGGTTTCAGGCCGGACGCAGTGAGCACACCCCAGGTCTCATCTTCCCTGACTGCCTTCTGTTGAGGCCCGACCCTCTCCCGCTCTGGAAACCGCGTGTTCTTGTGCCAGCCGTGGCTTTGGCACAGTCCACCTTCTCCCCCAAGCGGTGACTGCTGCCAGCCTGCGACCTGGCGTACCCCTAGAGCGACAAACTCGGAGTCGCTGTTTCTCCTTTTCCTCAGCCACCTTTAACTGATTGCGTAGAGTCCACCAAAACAGTACACCTCATGAAGAGAGAAACTTGCATAAATACTTTAATACTAAATTTATTGAAACATCATGAGATTAATACATTACCTGTACAATTATCAGAGGTGCTGAGTGGAAGTCATTATCTTCCAGACATGAGTACAGTGAACCGCAGAAATGTGTACAAATTTTTTTGGCGATCTCTCTCTCTTTCTTTCTCTGTCTCTGTCTCTCTCACTTTCTACATTTAGAATAAAATACATTTATAATCATATAGGTATACAAGGGGGTATATTTATAGAAAAGTGCCTCTCTCGCTAGAACTTTCCCTTGCCTTTTACTTTTCTTGTCTCTTAAAGATTATATAAGTAGAAAATAGCAGAGCTGGGATTTGAACCCAGGTACTCTAGTTCTAGCCAGACTTACCTTAAGAGCTGTAGTAAGTTTAAAATAAAGTACTAGAAAGGGTCATGTAATGTACTACGTTGGAGTGTAAGGTTTGCTAGGTACTTTGGAGAAGGATAAAAAAGGGAAAAAAAGGGAACCATTTTGGCTGAGACCTAAAGGATAATGGCTTAAAGATTTGTTGTTCACCTACTTTCCAACTTAGATGTCACTTGCCACACACGGTCCTCTTCTCTCCCAAAGCCTAGCTTAACCAGCTTCTTGTGTGACATTGCTGCCCACGCCACAGGCTACCCCAGAGTTGTATACCTTGGTGCTGCAGGGCCAGGTGCTTAAAAGCAGCTGTGGAAGGAAGAAACAGGCGATTTTGCTAATTATTGTCTTACTTCAGAGACTGTAGCTAGTTTGTTCCACAAAATACTCTATAAGCATTAATGAAATGTATAAATCCAATAGCTTCAGATTTTCTCCAGGCCTGCTTTACTTATATTTCATCTAGACTGTGGTCTCAGACTTTTTGGTTTCAGGAATTCATTATATTTAGAAATTATTGAGAATCTCAACAAGTTTTTGTTAGTGGACAGTATTTGTCAATATGTACCATAGGAGAAATTGAAGTATTTTTAAAACCTCAAAATACAGAGGGACATATTTCATTATTATTCAGAGCAATAATATCATCATATATTATGTAACAGCTGGAAAACCACTATGTAATTATGTGAAAAGGGGGAAGGGGCAAAGAATATCTTCATATTTCTGTGAAAATAGTTTTGACCTCCTAGACTCCTGAAAATGTCTCAAGGACCCCCCAGGGGCTCCTGGGCCACATTGTGAGACTGCTGCTCTATGTAATGTCACGTAGCTGACCTCATCTCCTCTAGTAGCCTTTAGTCAGTCGTTGACCTGTGTATTAATTTTATTGCGGTGTAACAAATTTGCCACCAACTTAGTAGCTTATGACAACACATCTCACAGTTCTATAGGTTAGAAGTCCAGGTAGGGCAGCTCTCTGCTCAGGGTCTCACGAGGTAGTAGCCAGGACTCAGTTTTGCTTTGGAGCTCTGGGTCGTCTTTCAAGCTCATTCAGGTGGTTGCTGGCAGATTGAGTTCTTTGCAGTAGTAGGACTCTTGCTGACTTGTTTTTAAAGGCCAACAGGAAGGTTTCTGCTGCTGCTTGTCCCTTTGAAGGACTCACATGACTTACACACTTAATATAATCTCTCTTGTTTTGTTTTTTTTTTGGATTTTTTTCCAGTACTGGGAACCGAACTCATGACCTTGCGCTTACCAGGCAGGCGCTTTGCCACTGAGCTAAATCCCCAGCCCCCTATAATCTCTCCTTTGATTAACTCAGTCAACTGAT